ATTCTAGACAGTTTATCAGCTAAAAAAGTTAATTTTGGGGTAAGTTACTCTTTAAAAAGTGGCCCAAACACACCAGACAAGCAAAAATAAAAAAAAATTAAAAACTATGTTTTTCCTCTTTTTATTTTTAGAAGAGGCTGACTACAAAGAACATGCTGAGGCAGCAGAAACTTCATTTAAAACATTCAACAAGAAAAGTTATTATGAAACTGACAAGCTGGTCTGACCACTTAGAGGGCAAACATTAGAAATGCAAACAATCAGAAAACAACTATAAAGACTGAAGGGAGTGGTCTTTTTCATTTTAATTTGGCCCCTTTTTTGGGTTGCTAGAAAAAGAAAGCAAAAGAAAAAAACAACTTGATTCTAAATGAGTAAAAGTAAAGTTATTCCCCCAGATTTAGTTCAGTGTCACAGATCAGGTAGTTCCTGGAGTCAGGTCACTGCGACATTGAAAACCTCAACTCAACTCACCCATGAAGAGAGGCGCCAGACAGAGGACAAGTCCCTTTTTTTAAATAAAAAAATAAAATAAAATAAAAAAATGCAGCCGCAGAACAGTCCAGAATGTTCCGCACATTTAAACCGAGTAGGAAGTGTTTGTACTCTGAGGATCAGGGGCAACAAACGATGTATGTTTCAGCATTTATTTCCACAACAACACATTCAGGAGGGTCGCACTCAAACTGACTTTAAGGACAGAATAAAGAACTGTTAAGATTAACATTAGTGCTAGTTTTTTAAAGTTATTTAAAACTTTGGAATCCCYCTTTTTTTCAAAACTAATGTAGAAAAGGTCAGTTAGGGTCAAGTGCTTTTGATAAAACCATGCTTAGGTTATAAAGAAGAAACTGGGCCATCAGTGTCAGAATAAGAAAAAGAATGAAGTCAGAGTCACAGAGTGATAACTAATCATCTGACAGTGAGACACTGAGTGTGTCAGCAAAAGGAGGAAATCATCAAAGATCACATCCTTAAATATATCACTAAATTACGCTAAGTATATTTTTGGACAGAAGTCTGTTGCAATGTTCCA